TTCGATCCACCTAAGATCGGCCAAAAATGCATCACTCTCGCGCTACGTGTTTTTTTCAAATACAATTCATTCACCTATCGTTTTGAAAGTTACATTGGAAATATTTTGTAATAATTTCAACTAAAATTAAAATGAAATTTTGAAGGCCAAACACTTTGCTTAGCTTATTTTTCGATTATAAAAACCATTGAGCAGTGTTTAAAAAGCCGGGCTCACTTTTCAGCGAAATCTTCAAGAAAAGTGTGACTACAATTTTTAAAATATACTTTGGCATAAACTGTTTGATTCAACTTCAAATCGCATCGAATTGAATCGAATCGATTGAAAATTTCCAATGCTATCAAAAATAAAAGCAATGCTTTTAACCGCATCACTAGACCTGCGCTGTATTTTGGGGCGATTGACAATCACTTCATCTTTCCTGCCGGACTGATTGCGTTTGGAAAATTCAAATAGAAATTCGGCGCACAATGCAAGCTTGAAATTGCGTGCTATTTACGAACGAGGTTGGAAGCAACTAGTTGCTAAGACGTAGTTTCTGTTTCTTCCAGATTTTTTTTTGGATTTTAAAACCAGACTGTCATTAATGGCTTTTAAATTCCGATTTATTTCTATCACTAGAATAAACGAAATGAAAAATCAGGCATTCAAGAAAATGCCCACAAATTTACTTCGATCTAAATCAATTTATTTTCAAGAAACAATTTCACAGCATCTAAGCGATAGCTACGAGTTTCCGGAATCGATCATTTACGATCATCGCCTTATATGAAATCTCGTAAAAATAAATCTTCAGAGAGCAGCAAAAAGGGAAAAGTAGTGAGTTTTCTCGTCGAATAAGTGAAGCAATACCGTTACTTTTTCTTTCTCAAGGCAGCATTATATTAATCACAATAAAATTTCTTTATAACCTTTACAAACATACGAAAGTCACTTGCGCTTCGAAAGTCTGGACGAAAAAAAGGCGGGCTACTGAAGAAGAAGAAGAAGAAGAAGAAGAAGAGAGAAGGGCTTATGTATGCCTTGAATATGGTGCGATGAATAGAAAACGCGGAAAATTTTTATTAAAAATATTTCGATATTTTGAGCGGAATTTGCCGTTTCCTCGCGGTCATAAAATTAAAAGACGCCCTCGTCCCTAGACATCGTTCAGACAGAATTGGAGAAGAAAAGCGCAAGTATGTTCTACTATTAGAATGATTTCCGTCGTGCCGTGAAGACTTTTTTTGCTAATCAGTAGATTTTATTTCACCGGTAAGTCATTTTTCGAAAGAAACCTTTCCCATGATCAATTCGTATTTAATAAATTTATAATAATTTGGCATCAAAGCGGCTGTGAAGCTCTTATTTGTTGCTAACATGATTTTTATATATTGAATATAAACATAATTTTCATTGTATTTATAATAAAATTTCTTCTCATTAATTGCAATAGAATTTAAATGCGTTTGAAAGGCTGCTCGTGCTTGTTTACAAGCAAAATAAACAGAACATTTATCAGAACGGCCAGTGGCTGATTTTCCGCTGAGAAACTTTAACATCGTATTTAGTTAGCTTTAATATAATCCCCTTTCGCATGTCTTTGTTTCCCCCTGGTTGGCATTGATTGCACTAAACAGAAATGGAAAGAAAAGAAAACACATTTTTCGCATGACCGCAGAGTTCACCGGACATATTACTCAAGATGCGTTTTGCGAACGCCACGACAAACACAAAGAGACGCACGTTTCTGCTGCTGCTGCTGTCGCTGATGATGATTATAATGATTATGATGATTATGATGATGATGATGATGATAATGATGATAATGATAATGATGATGAAGACGATGATGAAGACGATGATGATAATTATGATCTATGTATAAATCGCCAACCAAACAAATACACATCTTAGTTTTGGCCATGAATAAACACAACTAAACACACATTTGTACACATTCGCCATATAGGAGATTGTAAGAAGGCTTGCTTTTCCTTGTTTTGATCTTTGTTCACCGACACTGTAGACCAACAAAATGTACATAAAATATTTATCAATTGCCTGATATCAGCAAATAAAACGAACGTATTACACTTTGTTGTTTGTTGTTTGTTGTGTTATAGTGACCAAATGTATATAAAAAAAAAAAACAATAATAACAGCAACAATAACAATCTGCTTTTGGCTGATGCCATCATTTAAGAAGCAATAGCAACAAAAAACCAAAAGCAAAACAGCCCCAAACAAGAGGAATCAATAAAATATTAATGCCCGATAGCACTAGTGATTGGTCAATATTCCCCAATATTAACGAAAACCGTATAGAACGCACGGACATGTATTCAAGCGTACATATATGAAAATCAAGGAAAGTATACACATATACAAACCTAAGTGGATAGATGATGGTGATGATGATAATGATGATGATGATGATGATGATGATGATGAAGAAGAAGAAAAGTATAGACCCCAAAGCGTAGAATTTTAAAGATGATCACACTAGTTGATCTCAAGTTTTCTGCATTATTGTGTCTTCGGCTTCATTCATACACATACATATACATATACACACGCGCATAGACAGTCACTTCAAGTGGACAAGAACGCTTTTGATATATACAAAAACAATAATAACAACAATAATAATAATAACCATAATGATGACTGTGATGTCGATACGGTTGGCTGTGAAATGACGAAAACTTATGGACTTGACTCCAACACACCACAAAAAAAAAAAAAAAAAAAAAAAAAGAGAAATGAACGTCATTGGATACCACGTAACCATCTTCTTCTTTTTTTCCTTTTTTCCTTTTTGTTTTTATTTTCTTCTCATGCCAGCACTAAACCAAACCACTAGCTTGTTTACTTCAGATCACCGCAAGAGGAAAACAAAGAAGAAGCAGGAAATATCACACACTTCTTGGCAACGATGTTCAAGTTTGGATGGAACATCTGCTTATATCATTATTTCATTCATATCGGGAATAATATAAGTTGGTTTTGTAGAAAACTTTTTCTGTTCTTCTTCTTCTTCTTCCACGAATCAGATGTTTAGATTAGCCCGAGGGGTTGTATTAAAGTGTCTTCTTAGCTTTGGATAAATAATGGTCGGAACTTTTCTTCAAGGTTTGTATACAATATTCTCATAACTTTTATATGCGTACGTTTCATAATAACGAAGCGACTTAAGTGAAAAAGCAATTCCAAAGCAAAATGATACATACTATGTAGGAAGAAAAATTCTCGGTTTCACGCTTAATAAAAAAATTTGGATTTTAATTAAAGACGTTCAGTAGGCAGAAGGACTACTGATCTGAAGATCAATTAATTTAGGGACTTCTCATAAAACTAACAAAAAAAACCAAAGGCCTTTTTCAATCTTCTTTCGTGTGCTGTCATTGATACTACAATATAGTCATCATTAGTTTATGAAAAATCGCAAAGACCTCAGAAATACAACAATATCTGGTGAATTTGACAGCTACACGCTGCGAGCTACATGAACCGCTTTTTGCAACAAACTTTATGCATTGTCACTTTTCCAGCGACCTAATAGCGATTTTTTACTTATGTTTGTTACCCAACGTGCAGGAGGAGCACATAACATATATACGGACGGCTTAAAATAAGTACGGTTTACTAAACTGCGTTATATAGAAGGCTTCGAAATAACCCAACCCAGATCTCGTGTCTTATATTTATTTTTTAAAAGGCTCAAATATTTGATTGGCCCTTGACCGTTTCTGCCTAACTAAATCAATACGTCCATGCCGTTTGTCTAACGTCTTCTTAATATGAGCTCAGCACCGAGCGTTAATTGATCTCAAACTAAGATATATAGAAAAATGTCTCACATATCAGATGGATCGGTTTTTGCTTCTTCATGTTACTATGGGCCCGGGAATTCTTCACTTTACACGACCGAAATTGGACCATTAGGTGATTTATAGCGCGAATGCTTTGGATTTTAGCGTCAATTGTCATCATTTTGTCTCAACTTCTTTTTTAGAAATAATTTAAATATCTTTCTTGTAAGTTCAGAGGCTATTCTCATACTCATACGTGTCCATATTATCTTTTACGATATTTAAAAAAAAAAAGTTTGCCTTCCAATCACACTAGAGATGTCAGAATTGAAAAATGATTGTATGAACAAAATTATTACTATTGACAATTATGGGGTCATAAGATTTACAAAAAGAGAAACCACATAACAATTGTGACAAAATGTATGCAACAATGACAATATAACAACTGTATTAGACAATCTGTTGTTCGGGTAAGCACATGTGCAATTAATGAGCTGTTAAAAAGCAGAAAAACTACCAGCATTGATTACTGTAATGGTTGATGTGGTGTGTAACGATGACATGATGGTCTTGTGAGGACCATGTTAAAGCAATGAACAAAACAAAAAAAAATAAATAAATAAAAAAAAATAAAAAAAAAAAATAAAAAAATAAAAGAAAAACGAAAAAGTTTAAAAAAAATAAAAGACATAATGAAAAACTGAGATCTGAACGGCAATTGATAGAGAATAACAAAAACAACACGCTGTTAAACTAACACATGCCAAGAAAAAAAAAAAAGAAAAAAAAGAGTTGATGAATTAGTGACAACCGCAAACAGTGAACGGAACGTGGTTTAATGATTACGAAAAACGTACGTGTGCTGTAAGTATTGTATTGTCAACACTATATAAACTTTTTTTCTTTATGTTTTTATTGCTGTCGTTGGTTAGTAGATTAGTTTTTTTTGGGAAAAATAAAAACAAAACCCAAACCGCAAATGATCACGAGTAAAGGGGACAACTAGCGTGACAAAACTCTATACAACTTGATGACAGTAGCTTGCGGTTATACTAACGAAACGGAAAAAACAAAAACAAAAACAAAGACAAAAACAAAAACAAAAGTTGTAAGAAATATGAAAGAAAACAAAAGAGAATTGATTGTAAGCCAGCAACAACAATAATTGCTGCTACCAACAAATAATGACAATTGACAAATTACCGTTTGTGGCAGTACGCAATCAAATGAATAGTCTCTGCAGCGCTACTGTCATTGATGTATGTTTTTCGGTTGGCGTGCTTGTCTGTCGACTCAATGCTGCGTACGTACGTGAAGACGTACGTCCCCAAAAATATATATAACTGAAGAAGAAAAAAAGCAAACAAAAAAAAAAAAAAAAAGGCAAATAATAATAATAATAATAATAATAATAATATTAAGTGTTTTTAATAATGTTTTCGGGTCTATCAAAACAGTAACTAAATTTTGTCTGAGGTGTGAAGAACGGTGAGGAGACAAGAGGGAGGGGAGTGGCTAAAATTAAAAGCCGCAAATTTTTGTTGTTTTATCATTTGTTATTTATTTATTATTTTTGTTTTTTTTTTTTTTTCAAATTTATTTATTTATTTATTTCTTCTTTTTTTTTTTTTTTAAACGTTAGTGTTGTATGGAATGTGCACTCATCCGGTACGAGTTTTTTTTGTTGTTGCTGTTTGTTTCTTCATTCAATTTGTGGTTTTTTATTGGCGGCACCGGCAATCATCACCAATCATCGACAGCAACAGCAAAAGTAGCAGCAGCTAAAAAGGCCTCCGTTTATGCCACAACACCGACCGACAACACTGGGTTATGAAACATGTCAAGTTAAATATTGTTTCAGTCATGGTTTCCAAATCGAAATATTGTTAGACCTCCCGCCCCCCGCCCCCCTCCCCTTCACCAATTCCTCTTTTAGTTAGCTATCTTGCCTATCTCTGCCTCTCTCGCCCGCACACATACATATACGCATACAAACATACGCATATACATATTGTATATCTTTTTCTCTTCCTCTTTCTTATAACGTATCTACTGAAACTTACTTGTTAGCCACTAATTGATCAATTGTCTTTTAGCTTGGCTGGCGACTTTAGTTATTTCTGTTGCTTTTTTGTAGTATTACCACATTGCCACACTTGTATCATCCAACCAATATTGGTGCAATATCGCTTTTTGAATTCGCTGAAGCGTTACTTTTTCCAATTCTTTGTGTCCGCTATTGTCTGCTGACTAATATATTGGTGGCCAAATGTGTGCGTTTGTGTTTGTGTTTGTGTTTGTGTGTGTGTGTGTGTTAATGGAGTTTGCCAGGAAAACTTTAAACGCACACATTCATACACATACACGCGAGCGCAAAGAGTGTTGACATGCTGTTACCACTTACACACCGTCTCATGTGCATGCATGCTTACTCGCCTATACATATACATGTATACATATATATTGCATATATATTGCATATATATATATATATATATATATATTATTGTATATGTATGTATATACGTATGCAATATGACGAACGACTAGGTAACATCAGCCAAGTACGTGAATGCTCGACAGTTATACACAGTTACACGATTGTAACAGCATTGAGCCACTTGTGCCATTGCCGTCAACCAAGCGCAACAAATAAATTAGAGCGTTAATATTGTTGTTAAAAAGTTTGTCTTAAGAGGTTGATGAACGTCAGCGTCCAATGCAAAAAGAATTGGTCACTGTTTACATATTGCACACGACTTGTATGTACAATCGTTTCTTATATACGAACATGCATAACTCACGTTAGCTTTGAAAAAACGAAGAATTGTGAAATTTTTTACTATAAAAAATGTTTTTCCTTTTTTTTTTCCATTTTTTTTTTTTAACTAAATAGCGAAACTTTTGTTAAAAATAAGTGGATTATCTTGAAATTGGTAAAAACTTACAATGCCGGTATCGAACAGACAACCAAGCCGTCTTTATTATTAGTAAATTGTACATTTTTAATTTGGCTAATGAAATAATTGCAATAGTATGCACGTCTCAACTATCGGTAAGATTTTCATCATCTCCTCTATCGCAACGCTTTTTATAATCCCATGGATCTCTCTCTCTCTCTCTCTCTCTCTCTCTCTCTCTCTCTCTCTCTCTCTCTCTCTCTCTTTCTCTCTCTCTGTTCTTTCCTCGCTAGTATTCGTTATCCCTTCATCTTCCTGTCGTTCGAGGCTTCCACCCACTCATCACAATTATAGCAAACTAGGCTGACTAGTTTGTTAGTACACCTCACCTCCGACCATCTCGTCTAATGCCGTCTTTCATCTATTTTCGTCATAAAATTTCAAAAGTTCGATTCTGTTCTCCGAAAAGGTTTTAATTTTTTCTAAGGACGTTTATATGCCAGGAGTTCCAAAAGCAGCTCCGATTTCTTTCAAATTTCCCATATACGATGCATATGCTAAGACACTTTTAAATAAAGGCAAAGCTCCACGGAATCTTTTTTACAAAAGTCATTTTCGTTATATTTTAAGTGAACTTTACGAAACGAATAAAATATGTGACATTTGCCCCAATAACCTTTTGCCATTTTTTCTAATAAAAGTTTCCTATCGTCATTGTACAGTGTCTGGGATTTCGAAACGAAAAACAGTGTCAAACCTCTTCTTAAGGAAACCTTCGTTGCTTAAAAGAGCTTAAGAGAGCTGTGCAGAAAACGAAAGTAATGGTAATGGAGCGAAGTCCTGGTTATAAGGTCCAACAATCAAAACTTTGTATCCGAAGTTCTTTAAATCCTTTCGAGCTATTAAAACAACAACACGACAACAGCTCATCTCTTGATCTATTCTGGTTAGTTATCGATAATTGAGAGTAGAACCGAGTGTCTCGCCAGGTTAAAACATCTCATGATGTAAAAGTTCCATCCGTAGCGTAAATTCAAGTGTTGCCGTTGTTTGTACAGTTTCATCCATCTCGAATCGCAATCCTTTTCGTACTTTATTGTAATATGGAGAACACTTCTCATATTTTGTCTATCTTTGTAAAAATGATTCGTTTTTTTTTTTTTCGCTTCATCAGCGATTCGCAAACAGAATTTTGTCTTCTAAATTTTTCAGTTTAGTATCCAAATATCAAGATTATTTTTCTATTCAGCCTTGGGGTGAAAAGTGGTTATTGATCAATATTAAGTTCCGTAGCGATATCATCAAGTGAAATATGCTGATGATCTTTTCCAATTTCTTGAAAAATTTCATCGACTTTATCGACGATTGGTCGACCAAAAAGCCGAATGTCTTTAGCATCGAAATTTCTGCACCCGTGAGCTACAAAATGATTTACATATTGCATTGATAAAACAACATCAGTGTAAACATGACAATGTTTGTGTGTTTCTTAAGCATACGAGGTGTTATCGTTTTGGTTTTTCCGAATTTGGTTTTATTTTCAGAACGCAATCACTTTCTACTAAATTAAAAAATATAATATCATTGTACTATCGCCCGATAGGCTTAGGTTTACCAAAATCTTTGCGACTCTATCTCAATCTATTGGGAAAGTCATTAAAAAGCTTTTCGCCTGCCTATCGGTTATTTTCCCAACAATTTCTACTCAGATATATTCGAAATGACAAAACTTTTTTAAATAATAAATTAAAACGATGGACAAAATAGTTCGATACGAAAGATCTCAGGAAAATTTACATCAAAATTTCATCAAATTAACTTGAAAATTACAATTTGTATGTTACACACAGCCATACGTATATCGACGAAAATAGACAGACAGTCAAACTTCTATCAGTTCAGAAAAAAACTCTGATTAATATGACAGCAGGCATTAGGAACTAACTATTCTTTACTGTAGAGATGCAGGCAAACATGTCAACGGACGGACGTATAGAAAAATGTTTATTGTAGAATTTTTTCATTGAAGTAACATGTGTCTCTGGTATAGCTAGCCAAGGGATACGCATAGAATATCTTTAGAATATCTTCGGTGAATAGACTAGAAATGTGAAGATAAGTAAGCGGAAGGAGACGTAAGCGCGAGAATTGAAGTAGAAGTGAGGCTTAGAATAACAATAGATTTAAAATTAGAAATGTGATAATATGTAGGCGTAGAGCTTGATCCTCTTGATTTTCTAATTGGAAATTCTTTTCATTTTCTTGTCAAATAGCTCTCCGGTTGCCGCATTAAGCTGCTAGCTTAAGAGTTCGAAATTAAGTTAAGCGTAGGGAAATTAGAACATTATTCTTATCTCTCAGTTTTTGTAATTCCATCTCCTCTTCAGCCTTCTTCTTTCCTATAGCGCTTTTTTATTTATCTCTCTTTTCGTTTATCTTTCAAAGAATTCGAATGAAGAGAAATTTTAAAAATCTATTGCAAAAATTCCATAGAGATTAGAATAAAATTAATCAAGCTAAACTTGAAGAAATTAAGAAAGCCTTAAATTTGTATACATATGTATTTGTTTATTTATTTATTTGTTTTTTCATTTTATTTTGTATTTTTATTTTTTCAAAGGCTGGACGAATCGTTCTTTGTCTTCCAGAGTATCTTCTTGCCAAACTCAATGATTATACAACACATTTAGTCATTCTCCAAGTATCTATAAAGAATTATGATGATGATGATGATGATGATGATGATGATGATGATTTACAAAACGGGCGCTGGCGCTATATATACACATTAGAAATCAGTCATACCATTGCGAGTACCATGCAAAACTCTATATGAGTTTTCTTTTTTACCACAATATTCTTAACTACTTAAACGCCTTTCCTCACTACTACCATTGCCGACAAGCAATTTACATTTTATAGTAAGAATTGCAACAAGATGTTTAAGTATATATTCCTTAACTCGTGTGTATATGTATATATATATATATATATATATATATATATATATATATATATGTATGTGTGTGTGTGTGTGTGTGTGTGTGTGTGTGTGGATAAACTGCGTTCAAGCGTTATTTTATTGCATACTCCTCATTGACGGTGGTGCGTAGTATAGATAGGCTGCGTTGTTGCCTTTTGAATTTAATGACCAAAGCATAGCGAGCGTGACGGATTAAATTCCTTTTGTTGCCACATGTAATATTAGCATTTAATCGAAACGTTTTTCAGGCATTTATTAAGCAAAAGAAATACAGCGTCTCTCTTACAGCGTACATACCACACATCGATTACATGATGATGGGTAATACTACTCATGATCATGATCATCACATGGTATTCTTCCTCTTCTCTTTGTTTTTTGGTAAGCGCTTGGTGCTTTGCCGGCTCCCTGGAATCTAAACAGATGTTCAAAATCAACCAAGTTTTGTTTTTTTTTTTTATATATATATTACAAAAAAGAAGAAGAAGAATTTTTCTTTTTGTTTATTTATTTATTTTTTTTTTTTTTTTTTTACAATTAAATTTTCATTTAATTTCTCTTATAAGGACATCATTTGACTGTTTTTCGTTTACTTCAACGCGAACTGTGTGGTGTGCAAACGACAATAACTTTACATAAAGTTCGAGTAATTGTCGGTCTTCCTCAATATTATTTTCCTTCACAATGTTCAGTTCTTTCTTGTTCTTTGCCTTTTCTTTATGCACGTTAGTCATGTTATATGACAGGCGGTCACAATTTATGATGTGCGAAGTTGGGCGAACATTCATTGAACACTTATGTACAGCATTTTATTCTGCGCTGCTTGCTATTCCTGTACTTTTTAAACACATGCGCGCATATGCCTACACATGTATAAATACATACAAACACATACATCATTATGCAGCTTAAACATAAGCATATGTTGTAGTTTCATTATTAAATAATTTATATGCACATATGTATGTGTATATATGTATGTGTATGTGTATGGGTGTGTGTGTGTGTGTGTGTGTGTGCGTTTGTGTTTGCTTCTACGTATATATGTTTATATGAATATTGGTCTTCCACTCTTTCACATACACATATCTGTGTGTTTTAACTGCTGCTTCAACGTTCGTTCGATCAAAATTGCACGTAATTTTCAATGAAGCGTTGAAATGTTACATTAATGTTAATTAGATTTCTTGCTCTTCACTGTTTTTTTTTTTTTTTTTCTTTTTACTTTTTTTTTCTTTAAGGAGCTCCCGCTCCTTTACACCGTCGTGACGTTTAACACGATGGTATGATGACGTTAAAGAAAGAAAACCAGTAATGGTTATATAATTTTTTAAAAGATATATGCACTTTTAATTAGACATAATGATGTCAGATCGATTAATATATGCATGTATGTGCACTAAAGTATCAAGAAAATAATACGAAAAACAAAAATAAGAAATCGAAAAAACAAAACCAAAAAAAAATAAAAAAAAAAAAAATTAAAAAAAAAAAAAATAAAAAAAATAAAAAAAAAAAAAAAAAACATTTCGTTAATAATCTTAATACACATACATATGTAGAAACATTTAACTTAAGGCCTTCATTTGAGCGAAAGCGCATACATTATTTGCAAGCCTTTAACCTAATCCGTCATCCTTGTATATTAATTTTCCTCAATTGCTTCCACTTAAAATGTATGGCCAATGTACGCTCAATCTTTAACTATTTTCAGCTGCCGTCGTTAATGTTTGTTTGTTGTGTTATTTTATGTTCCTGCTGCTGTTGTTGTTTTTGTTGTTGTTTCTCTTCTTTTTGTTCTTCTAAATCGCAATTCAATTCGTTCATTGAATTGCTTTGGATTTGCTTAAAACACTTCTGTACATGTGCTTTATGCTGTGTAAGTTAAAGTTAAGCCCTTCTCCCTGTGTACATCATTACCAGAGTCCATGTAATGTTCATTCATTGCCTGGGCATTGCTTGCTTGTGCCTAGTGTTGATATTATGGTTGTTTAGCTTTGGCTGCTGTGGAGCAACCACCGCCTCCTTTTCTTCTTCGCCTTCATCATCGTAGTCTTCTTTTTCGTCATTTTGCACCAGCTATTTTCTGTTGACTGCCAAAACGTGACATACAGTCACGATTTCTTTCTTTATGAAATTACAGTCGTTTTTATAGACAACTTCTGTAAGTTTCGCTTGTTGTTGTTGGTCCATTTTAGAATTTCAATTTTTTTTTTTTTTTTTTTTTTTTTTTTTTGGCATCATTGATTTTAATATGGTTGTTTCATTGTTGTTGTTGTTGTTGTTGTTGTTGTTGTTATTATTGTTATTGTTGTTATGCTATAATGTCAGTGATTGCTTTTCAAGTCCGGTGTGATAAATTTCGTACCTGTTTATATACTATAAAATGGAAGTCGTAATAATTATTTTACCTAATGTTGTCAGTATATTGATCGGAAATTTTATACATTTATGATAAGTCAGTCAAGCAATTCAATAAGCCCTCTCAGACTGCCACAGTTATCCTGGACAGCTAGATGTTATAACAAAGTGTACCCTTTTTGTCTTTTCTTTTCTCTCACTATCTCCTTTTCTCTCGCTAGGTCTCTTTGCCCATTTTTTTCAAGCTACCTAATAGTTCATTTTGTTTATTTACAAAAAGGAGTTCTTGACTAACTCATTTTAAGCTTGTATCAACCATAAGTTCTTCAAAACTCTGGCACATGTTTACCTCATGCTGTCTTTTTAATTGGTTATCCATTAAAAATTAAAAATGCTAAGAATAGTTTTACCTAAAACTTTTAATCTTAGAGCGGGAAGAATGCGTACATTGTTAGTATAAAAAACCATCATGCCGTCACATCGTCTTATAAAACCATGGACTTATGTCATTTCTCTGCCACAACATAATTCCGCCGCCTTAAACTTGGAATGGCTTCTATTCAATAAATTCTGAAGCCTTCCCTTTGCAAAATTTTTTTTAAACGAAGTTAAACTCACACGGTCGCACGAATTGTCACAGGAAGTCAAGTCGGAGAGCAGTGACGCGTGCAACACGACTTTGGTGAAGGTCAAGGGCGATTTTGGCGCAGACGAGACCCGATCACACTTTGTCTCGTACATACTTCATTTTCCTTCACTTTCTGTAAACTATTATGGAAGCTGTGTTTTAGTGGTGATTCGTAGACACGAACCCGATCGAATCGAACCAAACGTCGACTTTCATTTTGCAGTCACTTCTTTTTGAATATCTAAGGTGTGTTTCTTGAGGATTAAGTTCTCCGCTTATTGACTGAGCTACGGTAAAATAGATTGCCGTAAAAAATAACAGCCCCCAAAATTCTTCGGGTCTAACTTGCTGGCGCTATCATATTTAAAATGGCAGCCATATTTTGTGCGCTCTTCCGACTATTGACTACTGAGTAAACCAATAGACGATTAGATGAAATATATAATAAATCTATTACATATTACAGTTCATAAATGCTGCTAACCTCTTCTCTCTCTCTCTCTCTCTCTCTCTCTCTCTTTCTCTCTCTCTCTCTCTCTCTCTCTCTCTCTCTCTCTCTTTCTGTGTCGGCAGTTAAAGCAAGGCCGGGATCACAGAAGTCTCTGACTTGTTTGTGCATAAATAAAGTTATTACAAGAGTTTCATTTTTAATGAGGGCAATACGTTGCCTCTCATTCCGGACATACCTACGACTATAATAAAAACTTTTAATATAAGGATGAGCCAGCAGCTAAACATGTATTGTCGAGATTTTGATTAAAAATTAGGTTAAGTCAAATTAGAATGTTGAGCTATTTACGATTTACTAAAAAGTTATACAGATCGATATTAGCCCGTGTCGAGAACTAAACACTGACGACTTGAATGAGAAGGAAATCACTTTAACTATTTTAGATTCGTTTACAAAGTCCGTCAAACAGCCTTCAATATATCACACATCAATAGATGGATTAGTTGTGAAGATAGTTTCCACCGTTTGAAAGTTTCACTTGAATAAAAGCGGAAGGTTTTTGCAGAATAAGTGTACAAAGCACTGTTAAGTTTCTCTTGGCATCTTCTACCATAGTTAGCAAAGAGCATGAAATTGTTATTTCCTTGCTCGATTGTAGAAGACGTGTTGAATCAGTCTTGATTGATAGCACTATTCCGTGTTAAATCGTAAAATGATGAGCGATACAAATATTATCGTATTTCTCTTGCATTATTTTTATTTATCTGCATTCATTTACTTACCTTATTATCGCAATGAAAACAATACCGTTTGATATATGTACACGAGTTGATCTGAAAAGGTATAAAGTAATAACAAATGAATTTTCTTGTTTTTGACATAGGGAGAATTGTCTTTCGACGATATAAGTTATTTTATATCACTGGATAATTGCACCAAAAAAAAAAAAAAAAATCGAGTTTTAGTCGTCAAACCGAACGAAATCGACATAAGATATAAGATTTTACCCTGTACAATGTCGGACGATAAGTGCCGTGTAAATATTTCATGATTTTAGTTTATTCGCTTAAGCTATATTTATAAAGACCTGGCGACGCACTCTGTCTATGAAAAAAGCAATGATTAACTCAATCGAGTTTTTTCAAAAGTGGAATTTTTACTTTAAGTAGGAAGTGTTTTGCAACGGTACTGTTCAACTTCTTTGGACCCTAAATGGTTTTGAATGACTATTATTTTTCGTAGAAGCACGCCATTACGCGAATCTGTATGGTCGGTGGTTGCCCTTGGTTAGCTGAATTCTCGAAAAAACTTTGTTTTAAAACTAAGCTGAGCATATAATCCGACGAACCATAGTTTATGAAGTCGTTAAACTGAAGCTAGATGACTAAACAATCATATCAAATCAGATTACTCAGCAGGTGGTCTCTTCCGAGGAAAATTCAAAATTATAGGAAAAATATTTTCACCCATTCAAGAGTGTACGGGTCATTTCGAATAAAAATTTAAACTGAAAATTGGATAAATTGAACTTTCAATGAAGAGAAAAAGAGCATTCCGTGACACATTGCCATTCAATTGTTAGAAGATTCCGTCTAGTTAGCCGCTAGCTGGCAAAATAAATAAACAAGTAAGAAAATTAAATCTTTAATACCCATCCTCGCTTACCCCAAAAAAGTATAAAATAAGTAAAAGAACAAAATTCTTATGCTCTATAATATGGAGCGGAAGCGGGTTGATTTCTCCTATTTTCAAAATAAAAGTTTTTCATGTAGAGTCATATGGGCATTGTAGGCGTGTTCTTTGAAAAGTTTAGGTCAATTCGAAAAGGCGATATCATCATCTTTGCTAACGGGAGAATGTTTACCGCAAGTATTACAAAGTTACGCAAACAGACAGACGGACAGACGGACATAATCAAATCGATTTAGAATTTGACTCTGATGAAGAATATCTTCTAAACTTTGTGAGAGTTACCGATGCTTCCAGCCGGACGTTGCAAACGTATTGACAAACTGAATATCTAAAGACACATTCGATCGCAATAAGTCAATATTTGTGGGCAATAACTAGTTTAACTTCCCGTTAAGAGTGTCAGTTAGGAAACTTGAGCGCGAATAAGTTCTCAGTTAAATTGAATATACTGAAGATGACCCTAAGCATGTTAATCTCGCTTTTAATTAGATATACGATTTATTTCCTTTTCGTTTTCTTTTATATTAATTTAGAAAATTCGTAATACGAACATATGTCTGTTGTTCGACAAGGACAAGGATAACCCACTAATGTAAAAAAGAAGAAATTACAAAAAAAAAAAAAAAAAAAAACAAAAAAAAAAAAATAAAAAAAACAATTAAAAAAAATTGACCCCCGAAAAAAATTGCAAATTAACAAAATTTAAAAAAAAAAAAAAAAAAAAAAATAGAAAAAAAGAAAAAAAGAAACTGAAACAACCAATCCCGCCAGGCTGAGTGAAAATCAATTAATCAATAGCGATATCATTTAGCCAAGTAGAAAATAAGTTTCATAGTTAGCCAAGCTAAGAAAACATTCACCTAAGTCAACCAATCAGTTAACGAAGTCAATCTAGGCAACTCAAGCAGTCAGTTAACAAACTCAGCTTAACTTAAGCAATCGCTCGTACTCGCAACTCGCAAGCGTACTTTACACGACCGCAGGTTTCTAAGGTACAATTTATCAAGCGACTTGAAAAACTTCTTGATTACTCTATTTTAATGCCATTTATCAGAGTTTTAATTTTGAGCGGTTACTGTACACATTCACATTCACATACATTCACTTCATATTATATTTGCCTCTTTTTCCATTAAAATTTCGATTTCTGTTAGTCAGGTGTAGCTCGCTCCATAAAATAAAATAAAGTTTCTTTTAAGAGATGAAATAAAATCTCTTTGTCTGCCTGCATAATAATAATATATATATATATGTATGTATGTATGCATGAATGTATGTATGTATGTATGTATATTGTATGAATGAGTCTATGAAGTGTACCATGTATCTCGAGATCTTATTCATGTCATATCAAAGAGCTTATCCAAACAAACGTTGAAAACGTCAACTAGCGTGTGTGGTGCAATATGGTCTTGCACAACAACAGCAGCAACAACCTGCACAAAAATGTGCAACAAAGCGTTCGAAAGCGTTTTTTTTTTTGTTTTTTTTTTCTTCTTAATTTTCAAAGACTTGCGTGAAATCTTAGCAAATGCGTCCAATGGCATCTAAACAAATGGTTGTGGTTGGCGATGGCCGCTTACTATGGAATGTATGGCTGGGTGATTGCGCGTTATTACACTAGTGCGCTGTGTCTATAATGTCGTTTCGCTTTCTTGATTGCTTGACAATGTGGAAAATCAATGCGTGAATGTGGGACAAGCCCAATGGATGTTTGAAACTCTACACTTATGTATATATATATATATATATATGAAATCTGACTGTGATTTTAGGTGCATGCCGTGTTTAAAATGTTGTTTTCTTTTAATGGCCATAACTGTTCATTGTTATTATTATTGTATTACAATTATTACTATTACTATTATTATTATTATTATTATTATTTTTGATCTCGGGTGAGTGTTCACAAAGTCCAGCTTCGTGCAATAATTGTCTATGCATTTTTTTTTTTTTTTTTTTTCATATTTAATCCTAATGCACATTATTGGTAATGGATGGATGGATGGTTGAATGTGTGAATAATTGTTACGATATATGTATGTATGTCTGTGATATTTTTTATATTTAATTGTTTGGGTTAATTTCGTTTTATATTTGATTTTCTATTATTTTCGCGATTTCCAAAATCTCTTGAATTGTTTACTCGTATTTATCGTAAACGCACTTTATTAGAGACAATGCGTGTCTGGGCACGGTTAAGTTTAAAAATCCATAGCCATCGGCTGTGCACTGTATACGTGTATTGCACACATATATTTAATTTTAAAGAAATGTAAATGAAGAGAAACTCAATTTATTTTATTCCATCACACTTGGCTGCATACGAAGACTCAAAGAAACCGAAAAACAAGAAGAAATATTAATAAAGATATCAAGTACTTTTTAAAGAAAGGTTACAAAACCATATATAAAAAGGACAAAGGGAAGGAAACGAAAAACGAGAAAAACGAAAAACTACTCAACTAAACAAAACTAAATCCATTGAAAGGAATTTGTGCTAATTTCTAACGAGAAGTAATACTTGAGAGGGATGCATCTGAAAATCTTCTAAAAAGCTTCCAAGCTCTTCGCAACAGTAATACATTCTCTCTGATACTTAGTAGAAGTAAAATGACGCATTAGTCTTTATATTACTCCTTTCGTTCGAAAATATGATTTACATTTTACAAAAATTTTGGCTTAACTTTATTTCCACTTAAAAAGACAACCAACTAAGTAAAAGCAAAGTCGCTGCTAAACATGGAAATGATGGTAATTACAGTACATATAGCAAACGTTATTGGGGAAGACCTATATAAAGTAAGCAAGGAGACGACCGTTCTTCTTCAAGGATATTGATTACACTTTGACTTACTTGCGCTGACGAGCGTGGGAGGACGAGTGGATTTAAGTTTGTCTGTCCATCCGTCTATCTACCCATCCGATCTTTGCTCAGTTATTTTTGTATACAATCTTAAGATTTAAATTTTTCAAGTATTTTTATGAAGCATTGCGATCGTAACTGCTTACTAACAAGTATTGAAGAAAAAAATTGTTGCACGAGGTTTTTAACACTTGTTGAATTCGCGCTAGGTACTTTGTGGATTAGAAGGAAAGTAATGTTGCATAGCGTTGGCGATTCGGAGCCCAATGGATGGATACTCAGTCCGCCTTTACTGGCTGGTGGATTGACTACAGCTGCGGCCAAAGTGAACTCCTCTCCACTGATATTTGAAGCCAAGAACATGAATGATATTGTAGTCAGTGGAACTTGCACTTGATCCCCCATTCAAGATAATATTTGCTCCTCGCTCTCGCTCTCGCTCTTGGTCTCTGCCTTTTCCTTCGAAGCCTTGGCACATCCGTTCTTCCTCTTCCGTTTACTGTACCAATAGCTATGTTTCACATTCGTCGTCTACGTCGTCACCTTGTTTATAGTTGAGAAGTAGCAGTTATAACAAAAGCGCACTTTTAGAAACTGCCAGGAAATGAATGTAAATCAGCTGAGTGTACGTGTTCCTTATATGCAGCCATATTAACTTTAAACTTAATATATTATACTATTAATGGGTTTATTAATTTAATAACCGTGACATTATTTTAACTTGGACACCTGCGTCTTTTATACTATGTGCTGAGACAAGTGAATTAAAAACTCCATAAAATTAGCGTGAGCTTTGGTAATGATTAAAAACGACAATAACAACAACAAAAACAAAAAAAAAAAAAGAAAAAAAGAAATATCAAAGAAAAGAAAACAGGAGATCATTGACGATAATGCTAACCGAAAATTCCAAGAGAGCAGCTATTAAATGTCATTAACAAACAACCTTACAAAGTGAAATAAAAGGGTTTTATAAAAGCCCTTCAGGTTGTGTGAAATTGAGGAACCTTGAAGAAAAAGAACCAAAACGATACGGAAGAATAATAAACAAGAAAATTCCTTAACTGCTATGGCATGAAATTAAATCCATTTCATTTGATCGCCAAACAGACAATAATAATAATAATAATAATAATACTAAGTAGAAAGACAGACACTTGTATTGTTATAAGGTTGATATTGTTATTGTCGTATGTTGTATAGAGTTTATCTTATATAATGAAAATCCATCGCGTATCGTTAACTGCGAAGGTAAAAAAAAAAAAAAAAAAAAAA